GATAGATGGGGTAGATGGATAAGGAACTGATGGGCAAGTGGACAGCTGGATGGATGAGGTAGATGAACAGGCAGATGGATAAGTAGCTGGATGGACAGGTGCATGTGTGGATGGATGGGGTAGATGGATAAGGAACTGATGGACAAGTGGACAGCTGGATGGATGAGGGAGATGAACAGGCAGATGGATAAGTAGCTGGATGGACAGGTGCATGTGTGGATGGATGGGGTAGATGGATAAGGAACTGATGGGGGCAAGTGGACAGCTGGATGGGTGAGGGAGATGAACAGGCAGATGGATAGGTAAGTGGATGGACATGTGGATGGCTGGATGGATGGGGTAGATGGATAAGGAACTGATGGACAAGTGGACAGCTGGATGGATGAGGGAGATGAACAGGCAGATGGATAGGTAAGTGGATGGACAGGTGGATGTGTGGATGGATGGGGTAGATGGATAAGGAACTGATGGACAAGTGGACAGCTGGATGGATGAGATAAATGAACAGGCGGGTGGATAAGTAGCTGGATGGACAGGTGGATGTGTGGATGGATGGGGTAGATGGATAAGGCACTGATGGACAAGTGGACAGCTGGATGGATGAGGTAGATGAACAGGCAGGTGGATAAGTAGCTGGATGGACAGGTGGATATGTGGATGGACGGGGTAGATGGATAAGGAACTGATGGACAAGTGGACAGCTGGATGGATGAGATAAATGAACAGGCAGGTGGATAAGTAGCTGGATGGACAGGTGGATGTGTCGATGGATGGGGTAGATGGATAAGGCACTGATGGACAAGTGGACAGCTGGATGGGTGAGGGAGATGAACAGGCAGATGGATAAGTAGCTGGATGGACAGATAGATGGCTGGATAGATGGATAAGGAACTGATGGACGGGTGGACAGCTGGGTGGATGAGGTAGATGAACAGGCAGATGGATAAGTAGCTAGATGGACAGGTGGATGGCTGGATAGATGGGGTAGATGACAAGTAAGTGGATGGACAGGTGGATGGCTGGACAGAAGGAGCAAATGAATGGCAGATGATTTGAAAGTGGATGGAGGGATGGATAGAAAATGGATGGGTGGGTGGTTGTATTTATGGATGAGTAGATGGTGAATGGGTGGATGGTGGGTGGGAGTGCAGATGTAGTGGGGAAACACAGCCTTCGGAGCCCCCCAGACTTGGGTTAGAGTCCTAGCCTTGTAGACCTGGGGACGGATGGGCGGATGCCTACAGAAGGGTATTTCCTTCTTGACTCTGCCTCCCAGCTCAGGCACTGAACCTGGTGGCAAGCGAGCCCACACCTCGTTTAGTTACTGCTCTAGGCGTCCTGTACTCATGGGGACAGTATTCTCCATATGTCCCTCCACCACAGGAGGAGAGACTTGAAACAGCTAATTCTACTCCTTAAAAATGCTCCTGCCAAAAAGAAGAGCTGAAGCGGCTGAAACCTCAGCTCCACGGAGGTCTCTGGTCGTGACTGCAGCGTTCTTTCCTTTGCACCTTACCCAACCCCTGTCTCTTCCCTTCAGATCTTCTCCCTCCCTCCCCCAGCTACACATGCGCCATTCCCAGCTGTGGAAGTTCATCCAGTCAAAGCCCAGGTCAAAGGCTGCCTCTTGCAGGAAGCCCTCCCTTTTTTTTTTTTTTTTTTTTTTTTTTTTTT